CCGACCGGAGATTCTCTTGCGTGCGATCTACGTTTGATCAGAAAATCACCCCCCCCCCAAAAAAATCCGGGAACGCCCGATCCGGGAACGCCTGAAAATGAGGCTAACAGTGCCTTTCAACTTGTTTGAGTGCCGATAATTTGGATGATATATGAGGGAACTGAAGTGCACATTATCAATACTAATCTCTTGGCTTCTGTTGCAGGCCGCAGGGCAGTGTGTGCGGCAGCCGGTGTTGTGAGGGCTGGGACCAGGCGGGGGACACCTGCGGTAAGTCTGACTACGCACTGTCACGACGTTTTGTTTATGTGTAAACAGTGATCCTGTTTACAGTTAACTCTGCTTACAGTTGGCAGTCAACACTGCAAGCTGTGTGAAATATTTATTATTCTTTTTATCCGTCGACTAATAATGTCAGAACCTCGAAAGACTATGTATGTGTAATAGAACATATTCACATGTAAAGGATGCAACCAACACTTGATAGGGTCCGTGGTACTTGTACAATACATGGAATACGTCCTGGTCACCACATTAATGCAAACTTTCATTTTGCTATATGGAAACATATGAACATAAAGAACGTCTTTTGTGTTGGTCTTACTCTTTCCATTGAATCAAACATCTATTGTTTACGAGTGTTGCTAACGTTCTATTCCAGTTCACTGCTACAGTCCGTGTGTACACGGCACGTGTGTGGACATGAACGTCTGTGAGTGTGAGCCAGGGTGGGAAGGGGGGGATTGTCGTCATGGTAAGTAAGATGCTTTTGTAATAATTCTTTTAAGCAGTTACCTTAAATTTCGCAGTAACAAATGTTTCCTTTCCCCTTTTAAACCCGACTCCCTAGTCGTGACATTGAAAAAAATCTAGGCTTTCTTTTTTTGAGAACAAAAGCTTTGAACCAATACTCTTTCCTTTAGAAATTCAGACTTTGGTGCAAATGTTTTCATATAGAAAAATTGTCTTCGATAAAATGTCTCTGAAATATCCTCGGTATGGTGTATGCCACAAAGATATAATTCTATCCTTCATTATCATTTATCGTTTATCAAATAATGCTACCCTAGTCTCTAGGTGCACTAAAGGAATAAAGATTACCACTTTCCAAAAATAAGTGGCTATTCTTTTTTGCTCAACAAGTGTAGGGGTAATAATAATGGATCATTACACCTTTACAGACGTTGACGAGTGCTGGTATGAGACTCACGTCTGTCATCACAACTGTCACAACAACGATGGGTGTTACACCTGTTCATGTGATGACGGCTTCCAGCTCATCAACTCTACACACTGCGTTAACTCTACAACATTCAACATCAGCAGTACAACGGTGGAACCTCCGCAGGGGGCCACAGAGATTCCTGCACACTGTGTCACAGCTACAACAACCCACACGCCACAGAGAACCACCAGGACCACAACAACAACAACAACAACAACAACAACAGCAGCCGACGTGACAACAAGACGACCACTGATCATGAGGACCACCCCAGCCTATACCGGTAGGTGATCATTTCACTGCTCACATTGATTACTGTAGCCCAGTTTTGTCTCATGCACAACTAAAACTAACATAAACCTTCTACAATGAATGCAGAACAAGGCAACTCGTCTGTTTAAGTCGAAGCCACAGTGGAAACCCTTGCACACGAGATTGTTAATAACACTATGACAACATTTAAAAGGATAACACTCACAAACGAACCTATTTGTATCAGTAGGCAACTGCGTTCGGTCAGCAACTTGCATAGTTATAGAACACGTTTTGCCGCTAAACAGTCTTTTATGCTAGACAAATCAAGAACTAAGTTAACGCTCTGATGGAGTGTTTCATGTACAGGGCTGTTAGTGTGTGGAATAACCTTCCAATTGTTATGCAATCTACACAATCCCTGAGAGTCTTTAAGAATGGTTTGCACAAATACTTCTATCAGTAGCACACCAGCACTTGTTCCATAGGATTGTTTATCTGTTTTTTAAATGATTGTATATTGTAAGTATGTTATAGATTTAGATGTTGTTTTGTGACTCTGTCAACTATGTATGTATGTATGTATGTATTGTATGTATGAATGGGTCCACCGCTAATGGTTATTCAAATAAAGTTTTAAAGTTTCAAAGTTTCATTGCCCTGCCTGATATTTAACCTCATATGTCATGTTCAGCTTTTAATTTTGAGTCGTGGGTTTTTTTTTGTATCAATGTAATTTGTGAACACATTGCCACTGATAACGTTTTGCTACATATAAGATGGAATGAAAGGAATTTAAAAAAGAAAATTTTTCTAGAAGCACCAGACCGTCACCAGACCCTGCCAGTCACTGTTCCAGTTGTGAATGACAAAGGCAGAAGCCAAGGTTGGTATTGTATTATAAAGTTATTGTTAATTGTAAATTTTGTTCTTCTTCTGCCCCTCCTTCCCCCTCTTCCACTGGGTCAATTAATGTGTGGGGAAAAGAATATTTGAAGGCTACAGGAAAGTAAGATTGGGTTTACAGTTACTGAGATATCTGTTGACTACAGTTACTGAGATATCTGTTGACTACAGTTACTGAGATATCTGTTGACTACAGTTACTGAGATATCTGTTGACTACAGTTACTGAGATGTCTGTTGACTACAGTTACTGAGATATCTGTTGACTACAGTTACTGAGATGTCTGTTGACTACAGTTACTGAGATGTCTGTTGACTACAGTTACTGAGATGTCTGTTGACTAAGCATCGCACACATGTTTGGTTGTGTGTTTGTTTATTTGCACAACAGTAATAATGTTAACATGTTAACACCTTCTTCAAGACTTATACACAAGAATTATTTATTGACCATCCGCAGTAAACTTTAAGTACAAGTTGCTGAATTGCAAATCAATGTACATTTCATGTTAATCCAAACGTTTATACTATTGCACATAATGAAGTTAACTTAAATACAGAATTATTAGGAAGACTACATAGAACACAATAATTGCACATACTACTACCTACACCACAACAGTTAAAAATTACGATTAAAGGAACGGTTAAAAGGTATGAGTAAGCTCATGTGATACAAATTTTCCAAATATTCCTAATGAATAGATTGTTTGGTGTCCATAACCAAACGACAACAATTAACAAATATTTCTAAAATTCATGGTAATATGTAAAGACGCTAAGGCAGGGAGTAATTAGTGTCCATCATTGTTCTTCTGTGCCTCACAGCTCCGCCGGGAGGGACACACCTTCAAAACGTCGACGCGGCAATCGGAGCCTCAGTCAGCGGGGTGGCCGTGATACTGTTGGTCATCTCCGGGATTCTCATCTACTGCTGGAACAAGAAAAAGACGACAGCACCAACCCGCCAACAAGAGCAGTTTGCAAATCCTCCACATTCACAACAGCAGCTTGTTTCCCTACCTGACTATAGCGGCATGCACTGGAATAATCCCCTGTATGAAGAAATGCCCGAAACGCATAACCCACCACCCCCGTATGGGGCAACGAGAAATTATGAAACTTCAATGAGCTTTGCCGCTGTAGCCGGAATGCCACAGGTTGACAAAACAGATACTAACGGTGTAGGCGTTGCGAAAGATGGTAGTATCACTGAATTTTCGAGTAACGTGCATGTCGATATTCAGAAAGCGCGAATCCCACCAGACGACCGTTATGAGCCGCAAAAGAAGGTTCCTGAAAATCAATATCAGAGCATTAAGCGCTGGTGAAGTGTAGAGTATGCAACTAACAAGATTTAAGTATTACCAACAGTTCATGAGTGATTGCATGTAGTCACGCGATGCCCAATACAGGATTGTAGCGACTAGCGGTACCTTTATCGCTTGTGTGACATGAAGTCGAATAAACCGTCTGCTTTGTTTTTGTTCAGAGTGTGTCTAAAATTGACTCAATAAAGAGAATATAGTGGATTTCCTATTGTCCTTGTGTTTATCTAAAATAATAATTTATGCTGACATTGCACTAGTAGTGCAGATATAACTGAGGTTTGGAGTCGTCTCCAGTTAACAGAGCCATGACATACTTGTCCCTTTCTGACTTTCTCTGGGAAGCATGTTTTGACGAGGCGAGGCTTAGTGTGATGGATTGTTCGTAGTTCTCCTTTTTAACTGAAGGAGATAAATGTAGACATGATAACGGCTGAGGTTATGGCTCAGGTTGCTACCCTTGTACCGTTCTCTAGGGACACATTACACCTGTTTTGACTGGGATTAGCGCCGCTTGATGTATTTCCATTGTTCTCGTGACCTTTCAAAACGATGTGATGCAGACAGAGAAGGGGGAAGGCTAAGGTTTCATCTTGTCCCCATTAGGCCACACTGACTTAATTTTATGGATGACATCTACGCGCGCATTGATTTTCGCCTGTTCTAAAAAAAAAAGATCACGTCCTCCGAGGCTCTAGGCCTGGGTAGAGTCCATGGTAGTTAGCGACATTATGGAGCCGGTGGTAACTCTGGAGGACGGCACCCAAGCTACCGAAGCTCCAAGATGGCAAAAACTCAGTACATACACACAGTGCATAATTCATGAATTCCGCAAAAAAGCCAGCATGTGCCGGCTTGCCGTATACGTCGCTATGTACTGCCGCAAAGTCACAATACAAGCTTTGTATTCCTGTGGTTTAGTAGCATTTGTATTTTTGGCCGGAATTTTTTTATTCGCCCGCGCGCACTAGTAGTTTGGGGGTCTTTTTAGGATGTCATCCATAAAATTAAATCAGTGTGGCCTAATTATGTACCGAATTTGTGGTACACTGTCTTGTCCTTTCTCAGAAGACGTGAAACCCAACACCTCTTTGGGAGACTGAGTGACTGGCTTGTGAACATGCAAATAATAAGGTCGACCGAAGGACAGTTCTGTATTCAAAACAGACCTTATGGAAAACACGGTTCATTGCCAGAAGACAAAGACGCGAAGGTGTCGGGTTTAAAAGAAGGAGGGTCTAACCTACGTCAGAGTGATTGACATTTACTTCCTTGAGAAGACTTATATAGGAAGAGTTTACAGGTGTTCCAAAATTAGTGGGTTGGAGAGACCCAGTGACGCACTGTAAAGTAGAGTTGAGCGAGTGCTGTAATCTGTTTGGTTCAACATTCGAAGCAGCAATTACTCTGAGCGGTACATGACGTCCAAAAATGGACAAGTTCCTGCTCGTTAGTTTGTTGCTTCTTTCTGCGCTGGTCTGCTTCGCCTCGGCGCAGCTTCGTGGGTGAGTCCATTTTCTGTTGTCGTCAGAACTTCCATATGTTTCAGCCTTCACATTAGCTAGTTTTATTACAGGTAGAATTGGCGTTACGTTCTAGATATCTTTCTTAGCTTGTTTTTAATGTCACGAGACACACTTTAGCCCATTTTGGATCTAGTGCAAAGGGGCACAACACAACAAAACACTACTCAATCAAAGATTTGGGCATGAATGAGCATGTTTCACCTGTTTTAGCAATGTCAAAACATGCGGGATTGCCCAGTCTTCTCGTGAAGTTTTAAAAGTTAGAATCACCCGAAATAGGAAATTTCTGGATATATTGGATGCCAAATCTAAGGTACGGTAAGGTATATCTAACACACCAGGAAACAATATATTTCAGGTGGAACTAGCATTAAGTTGTAGACATTGTTTCTTTTCTTAGGTTCTTTCTAAGATTAGGAGCCAACTTTTTTTATCTATTCAGAACCTTGTTGTGTCACTGAGGTGCACATGGCGACTATTATATTTGGTGCGATGTGGGCTGAATTTTAAAGACATTTATGATTACGTTTTTTGGTCAGGT